CCTGTTGAGTTTGAATGGATTCTTACACGTGCCACTGCACAGAATTCGTTTTGGGCAAAGTTGGGAAAAGTAAGGGTAGCTTTCTAAAGCTTTGCTGCCATCTTGTGGAAGCTTGTTGAATCACAGCTGAATTTTGCCTTTGATTTATTTTCAGTTAAATGGTTTACGAATAAGTTCCAAACCTTTTAAAATATGGGGAACCTTCCCTGTCATCCCCCGATAATTGTTATTTTGTAGCAGCTTTATTGAGGTATATTCATGTACCATGCAAGTCACCCATTTAAAGTGTACAATGGGTTTTTTTGGTATATTCAGAGTTGTGCAACGATCACCACAATTTTAGACCATTTCATCACCCTAAAAATACATTTTCCCCAGCCCTAGGCAGCTTTCTGTAGATTTGCCTGTCCTGGACATTTCATATAAATGGAATTGCTGTATCATGTTCAACTTCTGTCACCTAGCATGATGTTTTCAAGACACATCCATGCTGTAGCATGTGTCAGTGCTTCATTCCGTTTAATGGCCAAATATTCCATTGTATGGGTATACCACGATTTGTTCATCAATTCATTCAACATTTGGGTTTTTTTTTTTTGGCTACTATGAACAATACTACTATGAACAATCTGTGTACAAGTTTGCATGTGAACACTTTCAGTTCTCTTGGGTGTATATGTAGAAGTGAGATTTCTGAGTCAAATGCTAACTTTAACTTTTTAAAAAACTGCCAGACTGTTCTAAAGTGGCTGAGCCAGTTTACATTCCCATCGTCAATATATGAGGGTTCCGAGAGTTTTATTTTTAACATCCTTAAAAACACTCCTAATACTAAGATGCAGATTTGAATTCACTGAAGCTTTTCTTCAACTTTTAAAAGAAATTGTGTAAGTACAGCAGTATGTGTTCATTATAGAGAAATACTATCCTGAGAAGTTTAAAATCATTACCAATTATTCCACCATCCAGAGATTTAGTACTTCTAGAGTACTTTATATGTGCATGGATATATTTTAGTTTTACAAAATGGGATTTCACTATATACATTTTTTCCAAATTGGTATTACCAGTGCCCTATGAATGTGTATGTTGTTAATTACAACAGTCTTCACATACCTCTGGGAAAAGGCACACTTGGTATGGGGGACATTTTATTTTCTCTGGGTATCCAGAACAGTGCTTGGTGTGAGTTTGGGTTCATGGACCCTGCAAAAACTAGAGTCCACAGGCTGGGAGCTGCTGGCTTAGCGTTTAGTTGCCTAAAAAGCTACCTTACTGTCAGTTTTGGTAAGGCACAAAATTTGTTTAATTTAACCTCTTTATCTTTTTTTAAGCACTCACTGAAAATGACCGAGACAGCCAGTCGCCATTGAAGAATCCTCTGTTGTCAACGTCAAGACCCCTGGTTTTCGGGAAACCCAATGGCACGTACCTCTTTTCATTGTTACTTTCCTCTGGGCATACCACTGCAGTGGCAGGAGGCACCGAGGTTGCCCTCACCCCTCTTCTTGTAGCAGCCCTGTCTTTTCCCTTCATCCAATGAATTATCACCAAACTCAGTGCCTTTAGAGGCCAGAAGCGCTCTGAGTGGGGGTGTTGCTGGGTGGCTGCCCCTTGCCCCCACCACCAAGTTCCTTCCTCCTGTTTGCTGTTTCATGCGTCCTCTTAGAGCAGAAGTCTCCCAATTACCACCAACTGGCTCTCCAGGGGAATCTCTTGCTTTCCAGTTTTGTACGGAATTCGCTTCGTGGAATTCCTCACCCCCTTGCTTCCCTCTCCTACATAGTTTCCTTTTTGCTTTCACTGAACTTATTTAAATTAAACTACATGTTGTTTTCCTTTGTTTCAAGGTGATGCAGTTGATTATCAGAAACAGCTGAAGCAAATGATTAAGGATCTAGCCAAAGAAAAAGATAAAACTGAGAAAGAATTGCCCAAAATGAGCCAGGTATGGACTTTCTTCAGTGCAGAGAATTAACTTTCTTTTAATTTTTTTTGAGACAGAGTCCCGCTCTGTCGCCCAGGCTGGACTGCAGTGGCCTGATCTCCGCTCACTGCAAGCTCCGCCTCCCGGGTTCATGCCATTCTCCTGTCTCAGCCTCCCGAGTGGCTGGGGCTACAGGTACCCGCCACCTCACCCAGCTAGTTTTTTTGTATTTTTTAGTAGAGACGGGGTTTAGTCATATTAGCCAGGACGGTGTCGATCTCCTAACCTCGTGATCCACCCGCCTCGGCCTCCCAAAGTGCTGGGGTTACAGGCGTGAGTCACCGCACGCGGCCATACCCAACCATTTTTCTATTCTTGGAATGATTGTGTAGCTAGATTCCACCTGAAGCACCTGTCCTCACGTTACATATTCTCCATTTCAGCAGCAGTGTCTCAGGTTACACTGAGAAACCAGGCATTACTGTTCCATTTCATTTTACATTTAGATACTGCATGGCCTTCCCACCATAGGACACGCCCTAACTTTATAGCTTTCAGCTGTTCCCAGCATTTTCCTATTATAAACTCTAGCTTAAAGATCCCTACAGATAAATCTGTACATTACTGTGTTTTTTTTTTTTTTTTTTTTTTTTTTGAGATGAAATTTCACTCTCGTTGCCCAGGCTGGAGTGCAATGGTGCAATCTTGGCTCACCACAACCTCGGCCTCCTGGGTTTAAGCGATTCTCCTGGCTCAGCCTCCCAAGTAGCTGGGATTACAGGCATGTGCCACCACACCCGGCTAATTTTGTATTTTTAGTAGAGATGGGGTTTCTCTATGTTGGTTGGGCTGGTCTCAGACTCCCAATCTCAGGTGATCCGCCCTCCTCAGCCTCCCACAGTGCTGGGATTACAGGCATGAGCCACCGTGCCTGGCCTGCTGTGGTTTGTTGAATTGCTTTGTTAAAGGGTGTGCACATCCTCTAGGAAGTCTACCCATTTCCAAGTGTGTGCTGAAAGTCCCAGGAATCATCACCTTGTTTTCAGAGTGGAAGGGCAGAGACTACCTTTTCTTATATTGTGTGTCTTCAAAAGTACTGTCGTTTTCTCAAAGGTCACAGGTATCATGTTTAAAAAAAAAAAAAAAGGGACACTTCCACCCTGGTTCTGCTGCTACATAAGACTTATTTCAATTTCAGAGAGAATTTATCCAGTTCTGTAAAACTCTATACAGTATGTTCCATGAAGATCCAGAGGAAAACGATTTGTACCAAGCCATCGCGACAGTCACCACGCTGCTGCTGCAGATCGGAGAGGTGGGGCAGCGAAGCAGCAGCTCTGGAAGCTGCTCCCAGGAGTGTGGGGAGGAGCTGCGGGCCTCAGCTCCTTCTCCTGAGGACTCGGTTTTTGCAGACACTGGGAAGACACCCCAGGACTCCCAGGCATTTCCAGAGGAGGCACAAGCGGACTGGACTGTCTCCCTTGAACATATTTTAGCTTCACTTCTGACTGAACAATCATTAGTAAACTTTTTTGAAAAGCCACTGGACATGAAATCCAAACTTGAAAATGCCAAGATCAATCAGTACAATCTCAAAACTTCTGAAATGAGCCACCAATCACAGTCTGAACTTAAGCTGAGTAACTTGTAGCAAGATAGCAGCTGCTATGCACACTGGAGTCTGCCATACCAAAGCACGGACCAGACTGTTTCTTGGGGTCAGCCCTAAACCGAGATTTCAGTCTACTTTACAAATGGGGCATCTGGATAAACAACCTGACAAACTGGCCAGGGGAACCGACACAACCCTCAAGCATTTCTATGTATTCTCTGAGAATTGTCAGCGCCCTAGGGTATCCATTGGTTCACTTGGTGCCAACTTGCAATTTTTACCAGATTGGCTGAAATGGGCACTTCTGCTGTGATGCTAGTGTGATTTTGCTCAGATGAACACGATGTATCATACTAACCAAGAAGCTAGGAGAGCCCCATACTTTCATTTTTCACTTGGAATGACAATGGGAGAGGTCAGGAATCAAGTTCACGTTCAAGATCTAAGGGAGTCCACTATCTGTGCAATTGTATTTGGCTTTTTTTTGCACTGTTTCAATGCTGGTAATTGAAACCATTTTAATATATTTGGTTGTATTCACTTTATATGTCCTTCCAAAAATGTTGTGTACAAACCATGCTTTCAATGTTGGCCTCCAAGTTTTTTAATAAGAAACTTTTTGTATTTACTTGGTCCTTTTCTTTTACCTTGTAGTTAAGTGTCTTAAGCTGTAGATTGTGGCAGTGAATGGGTAAGCAGGAGACACTGCTGCTGCCCATCCATGGTTTCTGGGTGGTGCAACACTAGGTACACTTCTCAGCCCCACCCTGGGTGTGCCCTACATCACCAGTGGGGCTTCAGAGACCTCTTTATGGCAGCATTTAACATACAGCTTGCAAATGCTGGTGAAACATAATCCCAGCAACACTGCTTTAGGACTGAACTATTAATACAAATTTTTGTTATTGATACCTTAAGGAACTTTACTTCTGAACCTTGGCTCCAGGTACAACAGGGCCATTACAAATGAGTTAAAATATGCATCTGGTTATCTCACCAAAAATCAATTATTTTAGAAGACAACTATATTCAACATAGATGTAGGCAGAAACTTAAAAGACGTACTGCCACATTAATTTCATTAAATTTAGGATGCTACAAACAGTATGTCATTTTAAAGTTGTTTCCTAAAATGTTATGATGCCAATGGCAGATGGATTCTACATCCTGGTTTCTGGAAAAATGCTTGTCTTTGAATCAGCAAAACATACAAGTAGAATCATTAACAATTTGCCTTCAGTATCCCAACTACCCAGAACTACCCAGAACAGTGGTTCTAAAACTAGGTTGCAATTTGAAATCACCTTTAAAAACCTGCCTAGACCCTGTTCACAAATCCAACCCCAGGGGATGGGGAGAAAGCAACACAGGCAATCAATGTGGGAAAAGCTCTTCAAATGATCCCATAAGTAGGATAGGATATACAAGCACATTATGCTGCAACTAAAAAGAACCAAAACAAAGTCAATTTTATAACTTTATTTGATGTATTTGATGATCAGCGATTAGTTCTCATCCACATTGACTGTCTGTAGATCTGTAAAGAAAATGACAGTCAACTTCCACACCCACATCACATTTCATATTTCAACTCTAAAAACCTTTTGTAGACGGGTCTGGGCGTGTAGCATTCTATTTTCCACAACCTTTTTACATCCCAGATATGGGCCAGTTTTGCATTCTTTAGCATCTTCCCACACCAACACACAATTTAAAAAGGGTACAATGATGTGTGTCACCCCTAGCTTAACAGATGAATTCACATTTTAACGGAGGTAAGGACATTTTTCTAATGAACTTAAATGGCTTTATGGGATGGAGAACTTACTTTTGAAAGTGGTAACAGGTACGTAGGTAACCAAAGTATAGAGCTTATTCGGTGAATCTTCATCCTCATTACGTTTTCTGGACAGCCGCACACGGATTCGGTATGGGACATTCCTAATAAAAACAGAATTGTGTTGCTAAAGTCAATGCCTCCTTTCAACCAAGCAGCCACTAGCTGTGTTCACATGTCTCAGATCCCTGCTTCTAATGCTGTCCTTTGCTCTACTCTGACCAACCTAGAATTTACCAGTTCCCTGGAAAATGAAGCATAACCCCCAGATGAACATTAAATGCTGTTACCACAGGAGGGATGCCTGTTTGAAGATATGTTAAGGTAGCCACCATTGATATTCAACCAATTAATCCTACGCAGATATCTGGGTCCAAATGTGTTAGGTCTTTTGTCTATCACCAGAAATTTGTTATGTGATTTTTGTTACATTAAATTGTGAAGGCCAGGCGCGGTGGCTTAAGCCTGTAATCCCAGCACTTTGGGAGGCTGAGGTGGGTGTATCATCTGAGGTCAAGAGTTTGAGACCACTCTGGCCAACATGGTAAAACCCCTATCTCCACTAAAAATACAAAAAATAAGAGCCAGGCGTGGTGGCTGCCTGTAATCCCAGCCACTTGGGAGGCTGAGGCAGGAAAACAGCTTGAACCCAGGAGCTGAACGTTGCAGTGAGCTGAGACTACACTACTGCACTTCAGCCTGGACAAATTAACTCCATCTCAAAACAAAAAACACTGTTAAAAACTCTGCCACAGGCGCACATTCAGTTTATCTCCACAAGCAATCCCCTTGTCTTATCTCATCCTCTCTCTAGCATCACAGCTGATTCTCTTTCCTCTATAGATCTTAGGATGTGCCGGGTATTGTTCTAGGCCCCCGATTCCTATAAACTCAGGACCTCTTTTGGCTCCTGTAATCCCATTCCTCTTATCCCAAGGCAGGCATCAGAGGACACCTCTTCTGCTGCACCCTTAAATGTCCACCCACAGAAGAGCTGGGTCTCAGGTCCCTGTCTTGTTCATCTCACTTAATCCTCAGTTTTAAATACCACACAGATGCAGACAGAAACCCCGCACCCGTTTCCAGAATCAAGTAGTCCACACTGTCATCATTCCTCTAGCTGCCCTTCACTCCACTTCTGTTCTGGCACCTCATGACATCCTTTAAAGCACAAGCCTCCCCTGCTTTCTGGTTCCACTTTAGAGCAGGGTCCCCCAACACCAGCACTAACACCTGGGCTAGGCAACTCTTTGAGGGAGCAGCCCCATGAATTGTAGGGTGTTTAGTGTCCCTGGCCCATAATAGCCCTCAATAGTGACAAAAAACACTGCCCCTGCCACAACCCCGAGGAGGACAGGTAAACTGTCCCAGGCCAAGAACCACTTCTCTCATGGTGGACTTGCCTTGCTGTCTAGAGCTACCCTACATGGTCAGCCCTCACCCCTCCCTCCTCCTCCACTGGGCTCAGTCATTTATTCCACCCTACCTGCACTCACCACCCTGCTCCCAGATCCCGCCAAGCTTCCTCTCTGTGCAATGCTCTTTCCCACCCTACACTGCTGGCTCCTTCACTTGGGTCTCAGTTCATAAGCCATTAAATTAAGGGCTTCCCTGCAGATACTACCCAACCTAAGTCACAGTCACAGTATTTTTTTTTATACTTCCACGTGCACTAACCAAATTACTGAACTGATACGGGCTCTTGCAGGGAAGTGAAGCTGGTGTCATTGCAAAAGTTCACCTTCAAATACAGATAACTTTAGCACCTTATTCCTTTGGCCCAGACAGCTTTGTTGAGCCTGGTATCAATGCGCACATCTGGAGTTCCCATCTCCTTCATGGCAAATTTCCGAATCTCTTTGAGTGCCCGAGGGGCACGCTTCTTGAAGCCCCTACGATTCAAACATAAAGTGAACAAATTAAAGGAGCACGAAATTAGGTACATGTAAGAAATCCTCAATGTCGTTGATAGGCTCCTGGAAACTGACTTTAAGCAATGTCCCATTTAACAAAACCAAGTTTTTACAGCATACAGTAGGCCAGTGTGCTTCAAGCTCAGTGAGGACTTACTGTAGATGGTATGTCCTCCTAAAACCAGCCTAAACCAAACCTTCAACTAGGCAGTAACAATCTTTTTTTCCCCACCAGTGTGTAATGCCCAGCAACTAGCATAATACTTAGGACAAGAAGATGCATAATCCACTTTCTGAAATCCTCAAAATATTAAATTTGATTAAATGTCATGTCTTAAGACAGGACATGTTTTTGGAACAGATCATTCAATGCTATTAACTTCATCTATGCTTAAAGAGCAGGGGCCTGAAATGTGCAGGCAGGTTTCTTCTTGAGTATGATGAGGGCAACAGTTAACTCTATGAACGCATCAAGCAAGTTCACTTCACTTAAATACTTAAACATCCAGAAGTAAAAGGTAGTAGAAATAACAGCAGTTGGCAATCCGTTGTTCTTCACACAGCTTATGTAAGCAACCTATTGGGTACAGCTGACAGTATCTAGTACTACAGAGAAAAACAAACCAGGGAAAAGAGAAAGCATTAGGGAAAGGGGCTGCAGGTTTCTCTAAGACGGCCAAGGTGGGCCAGGTGTGGTGGCGGGCTCCTGTAATCCCAGCTGCTCCAGAGGCTAAGGCACGGAGGCGGAGGTTGCAGCGAGCCGAGATCGCGCCACTGCCCTCCAGGTTGGGGACGGAGCAAGACTCCGTCTTAAAAAAAAAAAAAAAAAAAAAAAAAGGGTGACATTGGACTCAAGGTCTAAAGGCAACGAAGCATTTATTTGTGGAAAAAAACATTCAGGCATAGGGAAAAATAAAAGAGTAAAAATTCAACAAAGCAGCTACTTTGAAACAGAAGCATGCCCGGTATGATTAAGCGGGTCAGCCAATGTGGGATCATGGCAAGAACTCTTGATTTCTAACCTAAGATAGACCGATGCAGGATCTGAGAATAGATCCCTACGCATGTCTGGGTAGGGAAGGGAACAGGAGCAGGGAGCTGCTACTGTCAACATTCCGGTAAGAATGGGGACGGTCAGAAAGACCAACGCAGCTGGTCAGACGGTGAATGTATTCGGAAAGCAGAGCCCACAGGATTTGTTAAATTGCCAATGAATGAAATAGGGAAGGCCACAAGAGGAAGAGATTGGGGTGGAGATGATTCGGCGCATCTCTGAGAGTGACAACCAGAGGCATGAGTTCGAGCCCCAGGGCGGCTACAGGGATACTCACACTCCATGGATGCGCTTGTGAATGTTGATGGTGTATTCTCGGGTCACCCCTCGTTGATGGCAGAACGGCCCTTTTTCTTCTCGCCACCCTTCTTTGCGGGAGCCATCTAAATGCAGGCGACAAGGAGGCTCAGAGCAGAGTTGAACAAGCTCAAGCCAAGTCCTCCCTCCCAGCCTCACGCGGTCACTCTCGGGGCGCTTCCAGGTGCTGAGAGTCTGGCCAGGCTAAGTCGGTCACCCAGTGGCCCACGCACCCGCGCCCCTCAGACACCTCCGACCTGGAAATACCTGCCGCCCCGACTCCCCTAAGCCCGGACACTTTCCTCCTCAGGCTTCGGGAGCCCTTAAACGCAGCGTGTATTCCCATTTCCCACAACCGGAGACCCGGGCTAGCTCGGGAGAGATTTTGCGGTCCCAGTTAACACAATCCCAAAGGAGGATGGGGCCGGATTCCAGAAGCCCAGACTCCGCCACCCATACTCACTCTGCCGGGTCCAAGCTGGAAAGGAAGAGCGCGAAGTATTGTGGGAGAAGCAAAGCCGCAGTTGCAAGTACAACTTCCGGGTCGCCAGGCAAGGGGGTGTGGCTAGGGAAGGGGAGAGACGAGGCTGTGACGTCAGCGGCGCGCGCCGAAGTGGGGACAGCGAAAGGGCGTCGGGGCGGGGCCGCGCCTTTGGGCCGCGAGCTCGAGTCCCGCTTCTCTCTGACGGAGTCCGTCTGGCTCCGCGAAGGAACTTGCGTCTCGTGTCTAAGTCTTCGGATAAAACCAAAACCCAGGCCTACAGATGTATGGGAGCAGGGCCAGGGAGAGAGACTTTCGTTTGTTTTCCGCATTCATTCATGCATCCGACCAACACTGACTGAGCCTGAGTCGAGCGAGGTACCTGGCTGGCGGTCCCAGAGTCACTAAGACGCAGCCCGGCGTTGGAGGTGCTTGCGTCGAGCAGGGCCGGCACGGGATTGCCAGTCGTTGCTGTCAAAGGCGGTGGAGCCACAGGCCTGTCGCGTCGTCCCGGTGCATGGGTGACCGAGTGGGTTGGATATGACCCGAGAAATGACAGATGTGAGATGACACGATAGGGAGATCTGAGGAGGTCCCCAGAGAACGGGGAACTGCGTGTCACCAGCCTAGAGATTCGGAGACAGTCAGTTGGATCTGTGGACCCATGTCTTCCTTTTTCTTGACGAACTCCCTTCTTTCATAGGAGCGCACCATTTTTAGTGGTTTCGTAAGATGAGTACACAAGCTAAAAAGTTTCTGAGCCCTCAGATATCTGAGAATTTATTCAACCCTCAAATTTAAATTCTGGCTTATATGGAATTCTAAATTGAAAAGAATTTCTCCCCAGCATTTTGAAGGCAGGTTTCATTGTCTTCCATTTTTCGGTGTGGTTGAGAAGTGATGCGTTATTTTTTTCTCTCTGAAAGATTTTAGGATCTTCTCTTTAAAGCTGTGAAACTTCATGATGATGGTACCTTGAATTTAAGGGAAATTTCTCAGGACGAAAGAGCTTGATGTCCCAAGCTGAAAGGGTCCACTTAATGCCTGGCACTTTGGTGAACAGGAAAATGCCCGGACCAAGTCACCCCTAACCTACTAACAGAGTTTTCAGCAGTGGACATGTTTCAGGACCTCACAGACAAGACTGGAGGCAGGCAATTTCTGGGCTGGAACAGGGACTCTGATCTCATGAGGAACCTTTGCATCCTGTATCAAGGTAGATGTTGCACTTGTAGGTTTCCCAGCAGTCCTCAAAGGCAAGAGATGGTGTTGGACAAGCAAGCCTCCCCCTATGCCTCTTATCAGACTCCAAAGGCCTTTCCAGAAACCTCCTGTAGCTTTCTGCCTGTCATTGGCTAGAACTAGGGACTCCATTTCAGTTAGGCTGGGAGAGCACATACCCGCCAAAAGCAAATGGGATTGTCATCATTACTTTGGCCTAATGATGAGTTGTGTATTTTTTGGGCTGGGCTAGACACATTGCTTTTGTTTTTTTTTGTTTTCTGTGTGTGTGTGTGTTTTGAGATGGTGTCTCTCTCCGTCACCCAGGCTAGAGTGCTGTGGCGTGATCTTGGCTCACTGCAAGCTCCGCCTAGCGGGTTCACACCATTCTTCTGCCTCAGCCTCCCAAGTAGCTGGGACTACAAGGCACCTGCCACCACGCCTGGCTAATTTTTTGTATTTTTAGTGGAGACAGGTTTTCACCATGTTAGCCAGGATGGTCTCGATCCCCTGACCTTGTGATCCGCCCGCCTCGGCCTCCCAAAGTGCTAGGATTCCAGGCTAGACACATTGCTTTTAATGCACGGAAGTGGGGTTCTGTTAACAAGGAAGAAGAGGGGCTAGCACAATTTGTTTCAACCCAATGGTGCTTGCTCTCATCTCCTTTCCGCCTCCTCTTCCTCTTGCTCAGGCACCCTAAAGCCTGCCTCAGGCCTTTCATACCTCAGGGCCCTTTTCAGATCATTGTTCTGATCCTGGCTCCCTGCAATCACTCTCTGAAGATGGGATCTTGCCCCTTCTATCCCAGCACCTAGAGAGGGATTAAGGGACAGCTTTCTAGGGTACCATCCGTTAGAGGTAATAAAAGTGTTACTGTAATAAATCAGAAGTCTAGTGCCAGCTGACTCAAGTTTCCGTATAACTGATAAAATGTGAGTAGATCCTACCTCTTGTTGAAATAAATAGACCCCTCCAGTGGGAATCTACAAAACGTCCCTCTAAGATGTCAACTCTCCTGCCTCACATAAAGGTTGAACAGAGGTATAAGAAGGACTGTTAGGTTTGAGGACTGAAAATCATTTGCCTGCCTGGAGTTCTGCAGACGCTTCCAGCTTCTCTTTCCCTCCTAAGCCCCAGGGAGCAGGCCAGTGACTGCTGGGCCTCAAGGAGACCAGAACCACATAATATGAACTTTGTAACTCTCTGGTGTTTGTTAGCTGGGCTAATCACTCACATGTTTTTACTTTTACTGATCAGCAGAGAATCCTTAAAATGAAACAAGATCTGAATGCTTCCCTGTGGGGGCAGCAAGAAAGTAGACAGGTTGCATTCCCGTCCACCAGCTTTAGGGGCGACAAATCTAAGGGGCTAGAGGAGTCCTCCTTCGCAGTTTCATGCTGGACTGAGCTCCAGAAAGGTCCAGTGGAACTTTCCAAGAAGCGCCGCCGAAAGATTTTTAAAAGGAAAGAGGCGTGGTGGTGAAGAGGTGCTAAAGAGGTAGTGTGGGTAGCCCAGGCCTGGGAGGTCAGTGTGGAGGCTGTTTCTGTGACCTAGCTTAAATGGGGCCCAAATGAGGCAGCAGCTAATATGACGGAGAGGAGAGGAATGGCATAGGAGGTATTTGAAATTAAAATCAACAGTTCATAACTGACTTCATATGGAATGTCAGTTTAGGAGAAAATGCTGAACAAAATCACATTAGAAAAGTAGACTACAGTATAATATATATTACATTGCAGAAATCAATGTGATTTCATGACTGGAAATGTTTTCAGCTCCATCACAACAGGATGACCCAGTAATAGCAACAGAGGCAGCACTTGACCCAATACTGGCTCTTAGTCTTACTCTAGGCGTCTAGATTTTAATCTCTTTTTTTTTTTTTTTAAACTAAAAGGAATCAGGACTCCTTGGAGGTAGTTGTCTCCATGCTTTGAGATAGGAAAAATTAAAAAATCAATCAATCAGTATGGGCCTTGACTGTATTGTTCCCAGAAGGAAATCTGGAGTCTGATTTCTGACGGGCAACGCTACAAAGAGAAAAGAGCCAAACATAGGAGCCGGCTCTCACTGGCCGGGTTGTACCAATTTGAGCATGAAATAAATAACAATGGTCAATTAGAAAAGTTGAGTTCATAAAAGGCCATGAGTTCCTGTCTTCATGCTTAAAATAAAACATGACATATAAAAAAGGTAATTGTAATTTTAAAATGAGTCAATATCATAGATGTGCCTAAGTGTGGTTAGGCAAAAATTCTACAAGAGTTGTTTTCTTTTTTGTGTGTCCAATGAGCTTTTTTCTCCAGAAAAATAAAGCTGTTTGTATGCATAGTATGAAATTCATGCATGTCTGCCCAAAAAGCTGCTAACAGGTGTCCCTAGAGGATGCAAATTAGTTATTTCTCTGGGACAATCATGGCAGACTTGGAGACCTTCAGGCTGTGCCTACACAAAGTGAAGAGGGAAACCAAAGCAGTCTTGTACCAAAACAAATGTTACCAGATAATTTAGACAAGAGTGTGAAATGTCATGGCTTAGAACAGTTGGCTAGTTCCCCATGTTGCATGCACAAACAACATTTTAAAATTAATGTAATGAATTTTAGTTGAATTAGAGACAGTAGATACATTTTAACTTAGTTGAAAAGATCATAAACAGTGTACTCCCAGTTCACATTTCAGTCATTTCACATGAGCCAAGACCTTATAGTTTTCCAAATAGGTCATGGTCTTTCTGGAAATAGGACAGGGTTGCAAAATAGCCTTTTAATGAGCAAACTTTAATGAATCAAAAGTTTAGGGATTAAAATTCCCATGATGAATGTAGGTTTAAAGAAATATTACACAGTAAGAGTTTTCTGAGTTTATCCAAATTCTGAACACGTGTAAGATTTAAGCAAAGCTAAATCAAATTAGTAGCAAGACACACTCTGCCCTTTTTAAATGACTTCCAGCTAGAAAATCCTAGGACGATAAATATGCTGTCCATTAAAAATATTGTTCTGCTTAAAAAAATGCTGACAGCAAATTAAAATACAAATTCTTTTACAGACAAATCAGATCTAGAAACCTTTGCATTTATAAAACATGTAAAAATAGTGAATAAAGTTTCACACAACATTTTTAAGAAGGGGGTTCATTTCTGGTTCTTTTAAAGAGTAAGTGTTCTAGTGTGCGCAAAATATTTTCACTTACCTTTTTCTCAGGTTTAGAACAATTGTATGCATAATAAAACTTTTTGGATGTACTTATACGGCACCATCTCTGCCATCCAAAACCTATCCTAGTCATAGAGCTGGGAAGAGCCATCTGCATTCTACATGGGAGGAGTAGGAGAGAGAGCGATAGCAATGCAGCAGGGAAAGAACTTTGCTCTCTTGGGCCGATGCTTTTGGAAAGGGCATTGCCATTGCAGTGGTTCTCAGCCACAGTACACCAGGGTACCCTCCTTCAGCCCCATGAAGCCTCATGATGGGTTGGCTGTCTGTAGTTGGCAGAAATCTTCTAGATGCTGCGGCTATGCTCCCACCCTCAACATGGCATATGTGTACACATCTTATATTGAGACACACATATGCTGCCCACATCACTGATATCTAAATGTTGGTGGCGAAACCCCATGCAATTCCAGCTGAGTGAGTTTAATGATGGGCTATAAATGAGAGCTTTGGTGGAGAATGTCTTGGTCGCTTCCATGGATTTTACCTGTGTCAACATTAAGATGTTGGCGGGGCATGGTGGCTCACGCCTGTAATCCCAGCATTTTGGTCGGCCGAGGTGGGCTGATCACTTGAGGTCTGAAGTTCGAGACCAGCCTGGCCAATATGGCGAAACCCCATCTCCACTAAAAACACAAAAATTAGCGGGGTATGGTGGTGGGTGCCTGTAATCCCAGTTACTCGGGGGGCTGAGGCAGGAGAATCACTTGAACCAGGAGGCAGAGGTTACATTGAGCTGAGATTGTGCCACTGCACTCCAGCCTGGGAAAGAGAGACTCTGTCTAAAAGAAAAAAAAAAAGATTGAGATGTTTCCAGAAACTTTTTTTCTGTTTTGTTTTGCTGTCACTTCTACAGTAAACCATTGTTTTTCTGGCACAAACTTTAATACAAAGATCAGAACCTGACAGGCCGATGCAAACACTGCAGCTCAAAAAGCTGAACGCCTCTGCCTCACTTACTGATTGCTTGCTTTCATCTTTTCCGTATCTTTGATTATCCTTGAAACATCTTGAAATTAGAAAAAAAGAATTACTGGTGAAAAGATGTAGGCAGGGATGTATAACAAGGGACAGAGGAAATTGTACAAATTTGTTAATTTATTACAAAATTTTCACTCACAGAAAAACACAAGAAAACTTTTATACTTTTATATTTGGGAAAGGAACTGGTATCTCAGATACAAAATAATTTACACATAAGCCATACAATTTTATTTTATATAGAAATAGGTCATTATTACAACGACTGTACAATTCACTACGCTTCATCTTATAATTACATAAAATCTTTTCTTTAGAAACATCTCAACAAAACATACAAAAAAAGCAAAGTGCATTTTGAAAAGGAAAATCCAATTCTCAGTATTCTCATGAAGATATGTAGAAAGATGCAGCATTCTCACTCAAAGGGCCAGCACATGGCGGGGTCTCCTTGGGGACTGCAGTCCCCCAGGCCTGTCTGGCTTGTGAAACCTCTCCCCTCACAGGCTTGGAGTTCTCAGCAGAATTCTGGAATGTTGGCTGGCATGATTGTGCTTTGCTTTGAGTCCACCTTTGTAGTTGCAATCAATGAAGTAAACAGGAAACAGTCCAGTGTTTTATTTAGGGGCTAAAAAATCACCACCAGCATGGCATGGGGTGAAAAGCCTCATCCCATTAGGGTTTAGGCCAGAAAGTGTGAATCTGTAGCTTGGTTAATAATAACCAGCTTCTCTGATTGGTGGGCTGTTGTTGTTACTGTGGTCTCTGAACGAAGCCATGAGACCTTATTATTTTTTAAAAAAACAGAAAGTGCCTAAGTTATTTCCTCTGTGCAGCTGTGCAAATTAAAACAAAAACAACCATTTAAAAATAATGAAAAATAATCTCTTTATTCTCTCTCTCCAACAGATCTCTGACCCAGTCCTTCTCCAATACAAAGGAAAGATGATCAAGAGAGTGAAGGCCAGCTAGCGCAGATGGGCGGGCCGCAGGTGGCTAGAGCAACCAGTGCACTCTTGGGGGATGCAGCGAGATGCGCCATCTCTGAAGGTAAACCGACCAACGATGCCTACACGGGGCACCTGGTTCCTGTCCAGTATGGCTATAGAGTGTGCCCAAGAACCTCGGAGGCAAGAGAAACACGGTCAGTATTCCTGATCATTTCCACTGCAGCAAGCACTGCGCTCCAGAGATGGTTACCATCCAGGAGTTCTGAAACATATGCAGTGTGCACAAAAGCCAGGGGTTTAGTTCAGACTCCTCTCCCCATCTCCTGTGGCCACCCCCCTCATCCATTGGTTAAAGCTGATTGTGTCCCGACTTCAGTGCCGGGGCACTATCGGGGCGGCTGCTGGAGGCCTGATGACTCAGACAGACTGCTGACCCTTCGGGGAGGACGTAGGGGCTGGGGCTGTGCTGGGGGTGGTTGGGGGTAGCCCAGGGTCCCTGGCTGTTGTGAGTAGGTGGAGAGAAGTAGTGAGTCCTGCTGCTCACTGTGCAAAGAGGTTGGTGCCTGTACCTAGAAAAAAAAGAACAAAGGGCTTCAGAGGTGGTTCTGATGTCTGCCCCTCAGCTGTCTTACAGGGCAGTGTGGGGCATGCTGCAGATTGAGTTATACTATAGGGCTGTCTTTCTTGGGGGGTCATGTGGGGAGAGGTGGCTTTGGCAAGACCTGGGGGTGTGGTGGGGATGGGGACGAAAGGAACCTTAGGGTGAATTCTGAAGCTAACTTCTTCGCCAATAGCGGGGGCACCTTCTGGCCCAATCAGCCTAGGCCTGTGGCTGTGGGGAATGGTTTCATAAACACGTGCACATGATCTGCATTATAGCCAGAATGTTTCTGGATGATGGAGCCTGAGGCCACACGCAGATAGTTGACAGGGCAGAATCCAAACACACATACAATTTGCACAATTTTCACTGCTGGTCCCTGATACCGTAGCTACCTCCAGATTCACCAGCACCTACTAGGAGCATCTTGATTGGAAGTTTAGAAGCTTCGACTGGCCAAAGCCTGACTTTGGAAACTTCAATCTTACCGCCCACTATTCCCTTCCATGAAATCTCCTCCTGCAAGTAACCCAGCACCCCCCTGCTCTCAAAGCTGCCCAGGCACAGCTGCCCTGAACTTTTGCTCAGGCTGTCTGGCTGGAACACTGTCCCTTTATCTTCACCCTCTCCCACACTTCAGGCATTTCCTGGACATCAGACTCGGCAGTGGATGCCTTCTGAGCCCTCCCTCTTCTCAAGTCCCTTCCTCCATGAAGGCTTCCCCACCACAGCACTCCCACTCTTCCCAAATCCGAGCCTGACTGCACTCTGTGCTAACCCACCTTCTGCACCCCACCCCGAGGCCCCTAAGGGCAGTGAGTGGGCCGAAGAGCTCTCTGTATTCATAGCCTGCATCTTGTATGCAACAGGTGCGTGCAAACTTGTCTGTTGCTCATTTCCCATCCAAAATCACTTCTGGGTCTCGAGAACTGACAAGATCTGCAAAGCCAAAGTCTGAGCTGACTCCCACTACGCGTGGGGTCAGGGAGATCCGAAAATTACAGCACAGATGGCTTAGCAGCATTGGAATTAAACTACATTCTAGAACTTCAAGGACAGCTATCTTCATCGCTATCTACAGTACTCAAGAGGACTCAGCCTCTGCTCATTCTCCATGGCTTTGCAGGTGCAGGTGGAGCTGCAGGCCAGGGAGGAAGCCCCCTAGGACACAGAAGGGCTGGGTGAAAAGGGGCACCCTGCACATGGGCAAGGGAAGGACAGGCCCTTCTGTAGCTTGGCAGACGCAGACGTGTGGCTCCCACGTGAACCTGCAGACCAGTGGCTCTCACCCTCCCTGCTTTTGGCATACTTGGCACTTGCCTGAAGTGATTTTTGCCTTCTGAGTAGTGACCACATGTAAATGAGCTCCAAATTTTCCTGGCAAGCCCAATTTCACACATCACTGTATTTACTAAGGCAGGTTAATGGGTCTTTAACTAAATGTGATTTAACTTTATGTTTATATAGGACTTTATAAACACACTGAAAAGTCCAACATAGTCATCAATGTTTTTTGACTTCTGCTCTAAAAACTATGAACATGTCTAGATGCAAATCCTTGAGTAAAAACTACTTTTTTAAAAAGGAACCTTTTCAGCACATAATCACATAAGGCATAATAGCCGACTCGTAATTTCACATACTCCGTAGATATAGACTTCATAACCTTTAAGCATGAAAAACAATCAAATGAGAATCTTTCTGGGGCTTACTTCTATACTAGGGATAGAACAACCTTGAAAGCAAGGGAATAAAATATCTTTGAGACTCGGGGTACGGAGTGTGGCCCAGCTCCCAGGCCTGCACGGGGGCCCCCTGGGCTTTGGCACCCACCTGCAGGTAGTGCTGTGGTGGCTGCTGCCGGGCCTGTGCGGGCTGCAGGGGTGACGGTTGGGAGGCGGGGAAGCTGGGGTGGAGCACTGCCTGCCCCATCAGCAGGACGGGCATCGGGGCGCTGCTGCTGTTGACGGGGTGTGCATCTGGATTTGGAAACACGGTCTGGCTCTGTGCGTACCTGTTTCACGTGGGAAGGAGAAAACAGGTCCTTTAAGAAAGCAGTATTGATATGACACCCAAAGCATGAGCAACAAAGAAAAAAACAAGTAAGTTGGACTTCATAAGAAACTTTTGGCCAGGCACAGTGGTTCATGCCTGTAATCCCAGCACTTTGGGAGGCTGAGGCGGGAAGATCACAAGGTCAGGAGATCAAGACCAGCCTGACCAATATGGTGAAACACCGTCTCTACTAAAAATACAAAAATTAGCCAGGTGTGGTGGGTGTCTGTAGTCCCAGCTACTCAGGAGGCTGAGGCAAGAGAATAGCTTGAACCCAGGAGGTGGAGGTTGTGGTGAACAGAGATCACGCCACGGCACTCCAGCCTGGGCAACAGAGTGAGACTCCGTCTTAAAGAAAAAAAAAAGAAACTTTTTTGCATCAAAAGACACTATCAACACTATCAACAGAGGGAAGAGGCAGCCCACGGGGTGGGGGAAGACATTTGCATATCACATATCTAATAAGAGACGGATACCACAATATATAAAGAATGCCTACAACTGCACAACAAGAAACCCAAACAACCCAATCAAAAAACGGGCATGGGGCTGACGTTTCTCCAAAGAGAAGCTAGAAATGGCCAACACACACATGAAAACATGCTCAGCATCACTAGCCATTAGGGCAAAGCAGATCAAAACCAAAATGAGATGTCCCTTCACACTCATTACAATGGTGATTATCAAAAAACCAGGAAGTAACAGGTGTTGCTGAGGATGCAGAGACATTGGAACTTTAGTGCTCTGTTACTGGGAATTGTCAAATGCTGCAGCCACTGTGTTAAATGCTGGCTCTGTGGCTCTGTGTCCCCACCCAAATCTCATGTTGAATTGTAATCCCTAGTGTTGGAGGTGTGGCCTGATGGGAGGTGATTGATCGTGGGTGGGGACTTCCCCCTTGCTGTTCTTGTGACAGAGTTCTCCCTAGATCTGTTTGTTTAAAAGTGCGTAGCCCCTCCCCCTCTTTCTCTCTCTCCTCCCGGCCATGTGAAGTTGTGCTTGCTTCCTCTTCACCTTCTGCCACGATTGTAAGTTTCCTGAGGCTTCCCAGAAGCAGAAGCCTGTACAGCCTGCACAATGGTGAACGAATTAAACCTCTTTTCTTTATACATTACTCAGGCTCATGCATGTCTTTATAGCAGTGTGAGAATGGACTAATATGAATGTATGGTAATTCTTCAAAAAATTAAACACACACAATGACCATTCTACCATATGATCCTGCAATTCCACTTCTGGGTATATACCCAAAAGAAGTAAAAGCAGGAACCTGAAAAAGATAATTGTACATCCATGGATGTGTATAATCATATTTTGGTTTATTGTGAATAAACCACTATATAATAAACAATTATTATAAACCATTATTCACAATAACCAAAAGGTAGAAACAATCCAAGGGTCCACTGAGAGATGAATGGATTAAAAAAGTGGTTTGTCCATAAAGTGGAATATTATTCAGCCTTGGAAAGGAAGGAAATTCTCACACATGCTACAACGTAAATGAACCTTGAAGACATTATGCAAAGTGAAATAAGCCTGTCACAAAATGACAAATGTTGTGTGATTCCTCTTATATGAGGGCTCTGGAGTTGTCAAATTCTTAGGGACAGAAAGTAGGATGGTGGCTGCCAGGGGCTAGGGGGAAGGGGTATTGGGGGTGGGTGTCTAATGGGTACAGGATTTCAGTTTGAAAAGGTGACAAAGTTTTGGAGCTGGATGGTGGCGATGGTCACACAACTGTGTGAATGTCCTTAATGCCATGGAACTACACACTTAAAAATGGTTAAAATAGTAAAATTATGTATATTTTGCCACAATAAAACATTCTTAGGCCAGGTGTGGTGGCTCATGCCTGTAGTCCCAGCACTTTGGGAGGCCAAGGCAGATGGATCACTTGACGTCAGGAGTTCAAGACCAGCTTGGCCAACATGGTGAAACCCCGTCTCTACTAAAAATACAAAAATTAGCCAAGCATGGTGGCACATGCCTGTAATCCCAGCTTCTTGGGAGGCTGAGGCAGGAGAATTGCTTGAACCTGGGAGGCGGAGGTTGCAGTGAGCCAAGATCGCACCACTGCACTCCAGCCTGGATGACAGAGCAAGACTCCATCTCAAAAAACAAAACAAAACATCTTTTAAAAAAGAAAGAGATGGTGATGATAATGGTCCACTAACAAGGAGCAGAAAAAGGCCACTTAGGAATAATCTGGGATTATGGACAGGAGCAAATGTCTAAAGAGACTGGAGAGAAGTCTGCTTTGCGTGATGTTTTTGGAGGTGTGATTTCGCTGCCTGGGGTCATCTGTGACAGGCAGTGGGGGTTCCAGACTTCCCCTGAGGAGACATCTGTGTGTGTGGGAGGCAGATCCTGACATGCCCTGGAGGGTGGACCGTTAGGTCATGTCTGGAAGAGACAGTCAGGGAGATGGGGAGGGTATACATTATCGATTTGACCAAAAATGGCAGTTAGAGTTCCCAGAGGAAAAACTTTCCATACTTGCCTAGTTCAGGGTGTTTTAAGCATCTCTGGAAAGTGATGTAACAAGAATTTTTGCTTCCATTTTCCTTCTTTTTTTTTTTGAGACAGTCTCGCTCTGTTGCCCAGGCTAGAGTGCAGTGGCACAATCTCGGCTCACTGCAACCTCCACCTCCCTGGTTCAAGTGATTCTCCTGCCTCAGCCTCCTGAGTAGCTGGGATTACAGGCACGTGCCATCATGCCTGGCTAATTTTTGTATTTATAGTAGAGATGGGGTTTCACCATGTTGGCCAGACTGGTCTTGAACTTCTGACCTCAGGTGATCCGCCCACCTTGGCCTCCCAAAGTGCTGGGATTATAGGCATGAGCCACTGCGCCCAGCCTATTTCCACTTACTTAGATCATTTAGGAAGAACAGGTAAAATCCGAAAGCAAAACCAGCCCACTTCCCCCCGCCTAATGATAGACATGAACGGAACTTTGCAGACAGCTCCCCACCACCTGCAGGTCCCTCCTTACCCTCCTGTGACCAAAGGGAGGGCCAGAAAGTCTCAGGGGCAGAGGCTGCCTAGAAAGGTATCCTGAGGTGTGGGGAGACCCCAGACAGGGCCAACAAGGTGGACTTTGAAGATTCAGGGAGCCAAAGGGGCCTGTGGCCTGGAGTTAGCTGGCCTCCAGCCCCACCATCTGCACTGTGTGGCCTTCGAGAATGTAATCTAACCCCTTGAAAGCCCAGCCTCTTCGCTGGTTTAAAAAAAACAGAAACAAAAAACAAGCATGTGCCTACACCCTAGGGATTTTATCGGGATGAAATGAAATAATGAACATACAGACCCTGACCCTCAGAAAGGCAGGAACCATCTGCCGTTCCTCTCAGTGCTGGCTGAAGGAGGGCACAGAAGAAGGACTTCCAGGGAGAGGGGCCTGGCGGTGCCTGCGAGGCCTCTACCTGAGGGCATCCCAGGCCTGATCGGCTAGCACCGTCCTGGTGAGCTCTGGACACGAAGTCAGCCAGTGTTAATATGAAGCGGATGTCTGTGTGATAGCTCTATTTCGGCCTCATTCCCAAGGGCCAGAAACTGTTTTCCAGCAACTTTTAAACTATTCTCCCCGTGTCTCCAGTAACCGTTGTCCCCAGGAATTAAGTAGCTGAGTAAAGCTGCTGTGGTCCTGCAAGTGCTAGTGGAGAGGAGGGTGGAGAAGGGAGAGCCGGGGCTGCTCGTCTGGGAGGGAAGGGCCCAAGGACAGTGCCAGAAGCACAGAGCACCAAGTGTGCCTGCGGAATGTCAGCTGGAGCCCGGGGGAGGGTCCTTGGGAAGGGGGATGGCGCTACACCCTCCAGGGATGTCTCCAGGGGTGAGGGCTTCAGACCTGTAAGAAAGTTGGAAGATGATGGCAAACGGCGGGGTGTGAATTGTTTCATTCAGTGCTGCTCTAAGCATGAAGCGCGGAGTTTTTTCTGCTTAAATGGGACACGGTAGAAGAAAAGCTGAGGGGCAGTGTCCCCTTCACAGCTGTGGGCACACTCAGACCCTGCCTTTAGTGCAAGGCTCATGTGAGTGCTGCTGGCCCAGGCGGGTGAGGCTGGCCAGCCTGGAACCATTCCGCCAGCGCTTGCCTCCTGCCTCCCGCCAGGGTCCACGTACTTGACTTGCCGTCCCGTCCTGCTGACCTCCGAGGGCTGCCTTGCGTCACAGGACCCGGGCATCATGGGCTGGATGGGCTGGCTCAGCAACAGCCTTTAAGCAGAGGTGGGGAAATAGGAAACTGATCAGCACCTGAACCACAGACCCACTGGTCGTGGCAGCACTTGCTCAGCCTGCCTGGACCCTTTATGGTTGACCCTAATCCCCACTCCCCTGGCTTCATTCTCAGAGGATGACGGACGCAGTGGGTAACTTCCCCTGGACCTCAGGACCCCAAGCCCTGTCCTCTGTTTCCTTAGCTGAGATCAACTGTGGACACTTTACAATCTGTCTGAACTCTGCCTCCATCTAAAGCAGAAAGCCGAAATGAATGGGGTAAAATGATGGCTGGGTTATCCTTCAAACAAGGGCAGTCTTGTACCTGAGCTGCCGATCATGGCTGAAGTCTGGGCTGGGCTGGCACTGGCTGGCATCCTGGGAGGTGGAAGCAGGTGTGGTCAGATTC